ACCCCTTCTTAACAGTGTAACAGTGCCAGAGCCATGATTTTCCTTTGGAGAACCATTCTTCTCCAATTTTGATCTTGTATAAGGGTGTGATTCTATCTCTTCTCTGATTCCAAGGATGGAAATTTAACTCAGGTGTAGCATCTCCCAGAAGGTCAATAAAGAAGCAGGTTTTTTTTTTCTTTTAATTGTTCAAGTAGTTAAGAAAAAGTCCTGATACTATACTGGTTCTGCTCTTTCTTTCTTGCCTTAGAAGAAGAAATATGCATATATTTGCTAGCAAATATTGTTCATGGTGAGCTTACTATGAAAAAATATTTTTTGCAAATAGAGTTGATTTTCTCTCTTTTTTTTTCAGTTGTCAGCCTGGCTCAAAATATAATTCCTCAAGTTGAAATATTATACTTTAGTAGGGCAATCTAAAATATAGTCCCAAGCTGGACTCTTCATTCTTTCAAACTTGGTTGAGCCATTATATTGCAAACAGTGACTTCCTTTTTCAGAATTTTAAAATGTATTTATCTTTTCTTTTTTTTTTATCTTCTGCAAAATGACTAAATAAATAAATCCCAGGAGGGACCTACCCCGCAAAAGGAGACATCTCACTAACAGAAGCAGAACCAGCACTTCTTTTGCCACTTTTGATTTATGTACACCATAGCTTCAGGTTTTGAAACTTACCTTCCTTTTGAGGTTAAGGCAGGAGGATCACAAGTTTGAGGTCAGCCTGGGCATTTTTTTTTTTCTGATTTTTTAAAATTGTTTTATTTGTTCTTTTTAGTTATACAAGGCAGTAGAATATATTTTGACATATATACATGGAGTATATCTTCCCATTTTTGTGGTTGTACATGATGTGAAGTTACACCGGTGGTGTATTCATATAAGAACATAGGAAAGTTATGTCTGATTCATTCTATTGTCTTTCTTATTCCCATCCCTCCTCCCTTCCACTCATCCCCCATTGTCTAATCCAGTAAACTTCTATTATTCCCCTTGATCTTTCCTTTTTGGGGATTCAGCCTGGGCAATTTAAAAAGGGCTAGGGATGTAGCTCCATGGTGACGTGCTCCTGGATTCATTCCCAGTACTAAATGAATTAAATAAAGAAGGAGAAGGACCTAGAGTTATCTGCGTTAGGGAACATGATGGCAAGGGGGATTTTGTTGAAATGCAACAATTGTTTGCCAACATTCAGAGTCCAGTTGCTCCAGGAAGTCCTAATGCACACCTTGTTCTCCTTGTTTATTCTTCTCTACCTCCTTGAAATGTCAACACATAGCTTATGAAATCTACAAAACTCAATGCAGTATGCACCACACCCTCTCTCATTCTGTTCTCTCACTAACCAACACCATTGCCTTCTTTGGCAATGGCACACCTATCAGGTATTTCCAGAAAGATTTCACAGTAGACTATTGGCTCTTCTACTCCCTTTTTTCCTCTTGCTAAGTCCCCAGGGACTGATCCAATGCCCTTTAAAACATCCCCCCTCTTTTTTTCTTTTTGTCCATTTTCTTTTAATAAATGAAGCCTTTAGATTGTTTTAGTTTTTCTTCTCACCTAGAAGCTCCACTGTCAGGTGGAGGCCCTTGTATGGTATCCAGTGATCAACACTGAATTCCATCCTCACTGGTATTTGCTCCTTGGAGGTGAAAAAATAAATGTTTTATAAAGCTCAAATTGGCCTTATCAAACAAAACATCTGCTAGATCAGTGAATGACTGGTGACAGCAGGAGACAGCAGTGCTGGCCTCTCCAATAGAAGTCACTGCAGTTAATGGAAGCTATTATGGGAAAATTCTGGCAAGAAGTTTTCTTTTTCTTTCTTTTTTTTTTTTTCTCCTCCAGACAGCTAAAAAAAAAATTTTTTTTAAAGAAAAAATGTATTCAGTTGCTAGGGTAACTGTGGTTTCAAAACTACTGTAACAAAAGCCAGATATCACATATCAAACTACCAAATTGTTAATTTGACTGGTATTATAAAATAACTACTTGAAAGAGATGTTTTCTCCTTATCTAGCTATAGAGAACAGAAGAAAGTAGAGAACAAGAGGAAAATGAAGGAAGAGGTAAAAAGGAAACCGGTGAATTTGTTTAAGAAGTGTTTTTTGCCTTTCTAAACATTTGTTGGAAATAAAAATCCCTTTATGTTAGATACATTTGCATGCAGGAATTATTTAGTCAAATTCAAAATATGAGGAAAGTACTGGAATATCTTGTTTCCGATGTTCTCTACACAAATTTCAAACCCTGACTGGGTTTTACCGGAATGATTTTCTGTGGGTGCTTGGTCAAGAAACTGGGAAGAGACATGCATGTTCTGAAATCTCTTATGGATGATTGTGTTTTTCTCTGTTTTGCTTCTCATTTCTTGATTTAAAGGAAATATAATTAAGTGCTCGGATCTAGAGTCAAACATAGCTAGGTCCGAATTCTTTTTCAATCCTTTACTAAATTCCTTTAACCTCTCTGAGCTTAGTTTCTTCATTTTAAAACAGGTATCAGAGCCAGGGAATAGTTGGGCACCGCTGCAATCCTACCTGCTCTGTAGGCTTAGGCAGGAAGGCTGCAAGCTCAAGGCCAACCTGGGCAATTTAGTGAGACCTGGTCTCAAAACAAAAAGAGAGGGGGCTGGGAATGTAGCTCAGTGGTAGAGTATCCCTGGGTTCCATCCCAGTATGGCAAATATGTAAATGAGGCTATCAGAACAAAGGACTGACTTCAACAAATTAATTGTAAGGAAAGAAAAAGAGAGACAGAGAGAGAGTCTCAATGTAAAAAAGAAAAGAAAAAAAGAATGGAGAGGGACCTACAGAGTAAAAGAGACAAGAGGCAATCAACTAAATGTCATGTGTGGCTATTTAGATATAATTAAAAATAATTGTAGGGTGGGGTTGTAGCTCAGTGGCAGAGTGCTTGCCTAGCACATGTGAGGCACTGGGTTGGATCCTTAGCACTGCATAAAAAATTAACAAAATAAAGGCATGATGTCCATATCCAACTACAAAAAAAAAAAAATTGTAGCTGGACATGGTGGGGCATGCCTGTAATGTCAGCAATTCTGGAGGCTGAGGCAGGAGAGGCAGGAGAGCCACCATTTCAAAGACAGCCTCAACAACTTAGCTTAGGCCCTAAGCAACTTAGCAAGACCCTGTCTCAAAAAAAAAAAAAAAAAAAAACCCTGTTTCAAAATAAAATATAAAAAAGGGCTGGGGATGTGGTTCATTAGTTAGGCACCCCAGTTTCAATTGCCCATTACAGACAAAACAATCCAACAATTGTAAAAAAAATAATTTATGAGCCACCTGGAGAGAGTTGAACATTGACTAGATATTTGATAATGTGAAGGAATTATTTAAAATGTGTTTAGGTATAATTTATAACATGACATTGTGGGGTTTTAAATTATATTTTGATACATATTGGAATATGTACAAAGAAAATGATATGATGTTTGACCTTTGCTTCAAAACTAAGAGGAAATCAATGGAATACAAATGAAACAAGTTTGGCCAGAAAGTAACAATTATTGATGCTAGATGATGGACATTAAGGAGTTTCTTAAAGTATTCTCTCTACTTTTAATATATATGTTTGACATTTTCTATAGTAAAAATTTTTTTTTGGGGGGGGCTACTGGGGATTGAACTCAGGGACACTGAACCACTGAGCCACATCCCAGTCCTATTTTGTATTTTATTTAGAGACAGGGTCTCACTGAGTTGATTGGTACCTCGATTTTGCTGAGGCTGGCTTTGAACCTGCATTCCTCCTGCCTCAGCCTCCAGAGCTTACTGGGATTACAGGTGTGCACCACTGCACCTAGCTATGTAAAAAATTAAAAAGAAATATCATTCATACTTATCTGATAATTATTGGTGAATTAAATGAAATGCTGTATGTAATGCACTTAGCAGAGCGCCTGGATATAATAATTGCTCAATAAATGATTGTTACTCCTATTAGAAACAAGGCCCTTTCTTTCCCACATTCAGAACTATGGAAGCCATAGCTAACCTTACTTGTTTCAAAATAGGCAGCTGCTAGCTGTTATTGTATTCTTCTTCACCTAATCAGATTCTGTATTAGGCCCTGTGCTTCCCCCCACCCACCCCCCACACACATACTATAAATCTGTTTTAGAATGGCTGTAGATTTTGCTTTAGTTTCACAGGGTTTTTAATTAGGAATACTATTTCAATGGAAAGTGAAAGCCAACAATGTTTTTTAGCTCAACTACTAATACTGAGCTCATTGCTAAAAATTTCTCTATATAATTTTATGGTTAACCTTCCTAAGACTTCTTGAAACGAGAGGAGAAAACTGACAAGATTTGAGGCCTGCAAGATCACAGCATTATGTGGTGGGCCTTAGCTCACACCCAGGTCCTGAGATCTCCAAAACGCCCATCTAGGATTCCTGGCTGTCAGCTGCCTTTCTTTATATTTCCTTGTCCTAGTGGAAAAATAACTACAACCCAGAAAAGGCTGACATTCCCAATCAAGACTCTGAAACCCTGTTCATGGGTCCTGTGACTGAGAGGCAGCCCTGGTGTGGACAAGGTAGTGAAAGATCTGCGTATCTGATAAGAAGATCAGTCTTAGAGTAGTTTGGGGCCCTGCAGAGGGAAGACTCAGAATGAGATTATAGAAAGAAAAAAGCTTTGAGGATTACACTGACATTTGTGTTTAATTTCCCTCTTATTTCAAATGCTATGCAACTTTTACAGGAAGAAGAAAGCAGTTCTCATATACCCTATTCGAGAACCGTTCCACTTCAAAAATTAAAAACAGCCAGCTACCATCCAATATTGTTGGCCCTAAATTCAAACTCCAGCTGTAACTTAGTTTAGGAGTTGTGCCGACACCCTAAATTTGCAAATGATGAGAGTTTAGAATCCTGCTTACATAAAGCGGGACATTCCATGTAAGGAGGGTGTCTGGTTACAACCGGAGTTATTGGTTGTTTAGATCCAACGTTCCCAAGAATGGAAGGGAGGGAGAAGAACCAGGAGAAACCGAAATTCTCGGCAACCAAGTTGCCTAAGAAGAAGTGTTAGTGCCTCAAACTTGAAGGTCAGCCTCTGGGGTCCCTTTCCACGACACCAGGAGAGGTTGGATTATTTCCGCAGCCGCTTGGAAGATTCCCAGCTAACCCTTTCCCTGCCGAGGCCAAGAGGCCCTCACTCCAAGGCTAATCCTGCAGCAAGGAGCCAAGCTGCAGTAAGGAGCCCACATCACCCCTAGTTGAGGCAGACCGCCCACCGTCTGCTGTGAGTCCCTTACCTTTTAGCCAGCGATAAACTAAGGTCTTCTTAATTAGGAAACTATAGCTATTTAAGAAGAAGCGCAAATAGCTCGCGCTGCGCGCATCCAAGCGTGACATGCTCCACAGTCCCGGCACCCCGCCCCAGAGCAATGAACTCAGAGCCTCGGAGCAGAAGGGGTGGAGAAGAGGGAGCTAGTGTGCGGGGGCCGAGGTGTCCCGAACGTGGGGGCAACCCGCCCCTGGGCCCCGCCTCCAGTCTTACCCCCAGGCTGGAAACTGCTAAGTGGAGAACTCCCCTCCTCAAAGCGGCAGATTTAGGAGGAGGGGTCGAAAGCCGTAGGAAGGGGGCGCTGAGCTCTGGGTTCTACCGCTCCGAAATCTGGCTCTGTCACCAGGCTGGCCTCAAACCCCGGGGCCGCCACGCGCTCCGCCTAGGGCACGGGTCGGGGATCGCGGTTTCCTAGTCTTGAAGTTCTTTTCTTGAACTGATGGAGCCGACCCTCGACCCCTTGCAGGGTGGAGAGTCCTTCCGTTCCCCCTTCCTGGTTTCTCGGGTCGGAGAAAAGATGTGGAATTGGGTTGGAGTGAATATTCCGCGTGCTCTATAATTACGCACACACTGAAATCTTCACCGTTGACTTAAGTTACTTGGCGTTGCGAGGGTGGGGGCCCTGCATATTGATTAAACGTAACCTCTATTTACCTAAACAATAAATGTAGAGATTAGCAACGTTCACTTGATCACAATAATGGGGTTGACAATTAAGGGGCAATGTATCCCAGATGTAACCGAGCCTATGAAAGACGTGCAAGCGGGCAGCGGACTTCTTGCGGAGGGGCGCTGGGGGCGGGTGGGATGGGGGGCTGCAGCTTCGTAGACAGCCAGCGAGGTGCAGAGCAGGAAGCTGCACCGAGGCATTGCAGAGAACCGGGAGGAGGCCCAACCGCCTCCAGGCCATCCGACCCCAGAGGCACGAAGTTGGTTTTGAGGGACCTGAACACCCCTGCTTCCAGGGAGGTATCTGGAGCTCCAAGCCCGCCTCCCCGCGGCGATGTCACCTGCCTCAAGGCCGCCTCTCTTGCTCCTGCCTGGCTGGGAAGGAGGATGGACGCCGCTGGCAAGTGCCCTGGTGAGTGTGTCTGTGTCATCAGTGTACTTTCCGCTGTGGCAACCGGAGCGGAGGGAAGAGGAGGCACACGGGTCTAAAGCGTGTGGAACCTTCCTCTAGCCCTATTTATACCCTCCATTCAATACTCCAAGAATAGAGACGGGGTGGAAGGTATCCACTTGGACTCTGGAAGGGCGTGGGCGAGACATCAGTGGGTGTGACAGAGGAGGGCAGCCTGCCAAGGCGGGGCTCTAGAGTGGCTGAAATCAAGAAAGCTTGGACTTGTCGACCCAGGACAAGCCTGTCCTGGGAGATGTCATATGAGTCCTCGAGGGGAATGTTAACAAGCCAGCTTTCTCAGCCTCTCACTGGGCTGTAGAGGTCTGAGATCCCACTGCAGGAGGGGATTGAAAAGGGATTTAAAAGAACTAAGAGAAGAACTCAGCAGAGTGGAATTCGGGGTAATAAAGGACAGAGGAGAGCAATTGTGTGTGTGTGTGTGTGTGTGTGTGTGTGCGTGTGTGTGTGAGAGAGAGAGAGAGAGAGAGAGAGAGAGAGAGAGAGATCATAATCCACCTAGGAAGGTTTCTAATCCTGAGCTCCCATCGCATATTGGCTGCAAAAGACACATGCATGTTGTTTCTCTGCTCTCTTCTGCGTCCCATAATTAATCCGGAATGCTTCCTATTCCACATTTAGAATAGGAAGGAAACAAAAGGATTTGTCCCAAACACCCATAAACAAGCCAGGACGAAGCTCCTTCCCGCCAAACTAAGGCGGGGAAATAAACAGCGCCTGCCCAAGCTCTAGGCGCGGGAGCCCGGGAGAAAACTAGGCTGGTTAAGAGGATCTGGAGGCTGCGAAGGAGGCAGGCAGGAAGAGACCCAGAGAGAAGGTTGGGAAGGAGAAGAAGGAGGAGGAAGAGGAGGGACCAGCAGGGGCGGAGTCGGACTGGGGTGCTGGGGTTCCGTTGTAATCGCCCCCTCCCTGCCCAGGTACTTTCCACCCCTTGGCCCCTTCCCCCATTTTAAAGCTGAAGGCAGACCAGGAGAGGAGGGGGTTAGACAAAGGGAATTCTCCTCCTCTGGGACGGGTGAAGTGCGTCTGTCCTCTCCTTGCAGGCTCTGGAAAAACTGGCATGATTTTCCTTGTCGTGAGAAGACCTAGGAGTGCAGCGGAGGAGACAACTACAAACAGACTTTGGATTGGGAAGGAGGGCGGGAGGACGGGGGCGGGGGCCAGCTTTGATCGCCTCAGCTCTGTTGTAATTTTGTCCCCGCAAGATAGATTAGCTGGAAGTCAGCCCCAGCGAGGAGTTCCGTTCAGCGGAGTCCCCTCCCTCCTTAACCCCCTCTACCGCGTCATCTCACTCCCGGAGCTTGGTCCCTGCTCCTCCCCAAGTCTCTCCTGAAACTTCAAGGGCTAATGATTCTGTGTACCCGCAGTGATCAGGAGGCCACACAGTTCTCCAACCCTCCGTTAAACAAATATGTAAGTCATCCTCCCTGTCTCCTGGGACAGACCGGAGGAAAGGAGGCAGCTGGGACCTCTGCTGGCAGTGTCCTCCGCTAGGGAAGTGGTGTCTCTGTGACCTTCCGCTGCTCGGCACGGTCTCGGTCTCCCTCTCCCTCAGCTCTTCCTTAGAAGAAAGAGGGGCAAAGAATATGCATCTCGCCACCCACCGGACAAGCCGGGGAACCTATGTCTTTGCTTGAAAAGTTTTCTAAATAAATCACTCTGGTGGTTCTAAGCTGTGATGAACAGAGACCAGGACCGGCTCTTCTCCACCATCACGTCACGGATATAAAGGATATGGAGGCATCCTCCCCCACCTCTTTCTTTCTTCCTCATATAAATCAGCCATATAAATCATTCGCATTGTTTAAGGTACATTGATCAATCTAATGGCTTGTAATAGGCTCCTAATTGCCACTTGCAGAAGCTTGCAGGCTCATGTTTCTAGGGGGAAAGTTCTGAATGCTAGCCAAGATCCACCTTAAGCTTAAGACTGGGCCATTACCGAACCCAGGAAAAGCACCAGGATGGCCCAGTCACTCCAGTCTCAGCGCTTCAGGGGAGGGAAGAAAGGAGTATTACTGGGGATATTTGCAATTTTTTTCTTCCAATTTTCAGTTCCATATCAGTAATTCATTGATGAGCAAAGCTTAAGCTGCAATTTATTGATTATTGTGGACTGAAGATCATTTTTTTAAAAGTATCAGACAAGAAACCTTCCTTATTTTCAACCCTTGTGTTTGTATTGACAGTTAAAAACTTCCTTAGTCACAAACCAGTAGGCTCTTAGTCATATCTTTTTCTTGTTTCTTTCAGTGGTAGTGAGAAATAACAAAGTGATGGTGTGGGGAATTTGTTAAAGAGAAGGAAGAAAAAGTCAAACTTTGTGTAGGAGAGTCCTGCAAGGTATGCCTGAATGGTTGTTTAACATGGTACAGTTGTGCTTTCTTCAATCCCTGGATGAAGGAAGAATGAGTTCGAAGTTGGAAGCCTCCTCAAAAGCTGCCTGTGACATGATTAAACTGAGGAGGCTGGTACTTTGGCTAGGAGAAGATGACTAATGACCAGAATCCTCTGACCATTGGCTTTCTTGATATTAGTTTAGAATTTATATGAAAAAGTTAATTATTGTCTCCAATAGAGTAGAGTTGGCTAAGGCAACAAATGGGGATCATTTTGATAGAGATGCTCTGAAAAAGAGGAAAGTCAACACTGAATTCCACATTTGCTTAGTTTGAGGACCCCTCCATCATGGTTGATGAGAAAGGGAAGAAGGTACAACCCTAAGCCCAATAGGCCTCCCATAGTTTTCTAGTAATGCAGTAAACAAATCTATGATGCTTGTTTAATAATCTTCCAATAATTGCAGTCATTAAAATCATCACACAGTCTACAGTCACCTTCCTTCCTTTGACACACCAGAGTCTTGTCTTTAATTGTTAATTCATTTTTGGCTCAGATAAACAGATCAAGGCAAGCTTCAAATATACGCCCCAGATACATCTAGCAGCAGAAAATTTGTTGTGTAGCAAAGGTTTGGACTGTACTTGACAGACTTGGGCTTTTTAATTTCTCCAGTAGATCTTATAGAGGCAAGAAAGATTTGCATCTCTTACTACCTGTAAATAACAGTGATACCTCTGAGATAGAAAAAAAAAAAAGATGAAAGTCTCATTGGCCTATTGATTCTTCCTGACTCTTTTATTTGCAAGGGTTGGACTGGAAGGAGGGAGAGCATTATAGAACAAATATTAAATGAAAGCTCAACAGAAATTGTGGGAGAGTTCCTCAATTTTCAATTAATTTTCTTGATCCATTTGATCTCAATTCGGGTGCTTTTAAAGATATAAATACATGTTAACCATAAAAGATTCCCTCCTAATCAAAGGCTGCATTTCATTTTCACTCACACTGACAAATTCCAACTGCAGAAAGGATTCACCCGACTCAACAGGCGTTAGGAGACTGTACTGGGCTTCCTTGCCTTTGCTCATGGCAGGCGAAGATGGCACACAAGGGCAGCTTTTTTTCTTTTTTAACTCAAGTTATTAATATGTCTCCCCAACTCCCACACCGAGCTGACCTGATAATCACTGCTCTAGTGTAGATCATGCAAATGAAAAGCATAATTAATTGCGCAAATGATTCAAAAAGAGAGCTCTGTGGCTTAGCAAATAAATAAATAAAGGCAAGTGGGAGGACAGGTAAATGCTTTTTGCAAGCTCCTCTCCCTCTTACCCCCAACCCCACTCCACATCTTGGTTCTGGTGGCCCGGACTTCGACTGCAGCCAGCTCTGCCAAGGCGAGAACCTTGAGTTCATCCTCTTTCACTACCTCCCCTCCCGCGGATATTCTCCATTCTCCCCAACTCCATCCCATACCACCCCGGTGCTGTACATCCGCTGCGAAACTCTGCTTCTGGTCAAAACTCCCCAGGAGACTGGGCAGCTACCTAATATTTACCCAGCTACAATACCGAGGAGTGCAGACAATAACTGGTCTTCCTGCTCGCTACTCTGCTTAGTGCATCAGGGAAAAGCATTTTATCTGTGGCGTAGGAGCTCCAATTCTTCCGATCAGCGCTAAAGACGCAATTGTTTCCCCAGCTTTGCCTCTTTAACACAGCAACTTGAGCAGTTGCTCAGATCAAAGCTCTCTGGAAAGGCAAGATGGGAGAAACAATATTTGTTCAAAGGAAGTGAACTCTTCCCTTTAATTACCCCATTCTTCTTTATTAGAATTCATATTGAATTTTTTTTGCAAAAAATTATGTTGATTTAACCATAGTGTATTTACGATGTAAATATATTCCAGGATGAAAACGTCACGGATCAATTGTAAAGGACCCGGATACATAATTTTAAAAAATCAGTTTCAGTGTATATGAGGTTCTCACCCCACTTTCTCTGCTCAGTCAGATTTGTTTATGCAGAATCGACATTTAATAGTGCTAATTGCACTCCAGTTAAATTGCCCTGATTGCAGAAAGGGAAGCAATTTTCATGCTCTCTGTCTGGGTTTGGAAGAAATTGTTTTATATTCACCTCTTTATAAAGAAGTGGAGATAAGGCACCGGGGCCTTTGCACAAATTGCACTTAGGGGCTGACTGGCAGCATTCAGGCGCTATAATAGAGCATTATTTGGCCGTTTTGAATAATGTAAAGCGTTTGCTGAAAGCTATTCTCCTGAAAATTGCTTTAACTTTTAAAAGGGTGATGATTCACTCCAAACCAGGCCTTTGTTACATTGTCATTATTTCCCCAAATGTTTTAACAGTCAGCTCAACACTTTAGCATAACACATTGATCTTTGTTTAAAAACTAGATTTTTTAGCGGATGAAAAAAATCTGTGTGTGGGGGGACTGGACTTCCTACGAAAAGATTTCCATGGGGCCCCACCTTAGAGTTGATCTGGCCCGAGTGTTTGTCTGCGTTCGTTTGGAAGATTTCCCTAACTTTTATTGTGATGCGGACGCGTGTCTAAAGGAATATCCGAATGCCCACGTCGAGAGTCTGACAGCTGCAACAACGTGGAAAACGGTGGGAGGGGTGGGGAGAGGAGGCGGAGAAGGAGACAAGCAGGGCGCTGGGAGCCCGAGGTGCCCGAGAGAACCGTTTTAAACGGTTGGCTTGAAAATGTCACCAGTGCTAAGTGGCTTTTCGGATTGTCTTATTTATTACTTTGTCAGGTTTCTTTAAGGAGAGGGTGTGTTGGGGGTGGGGGAGGAGGAGGACAGGGGAAACCTCTGCGCTTCTCCTCCTGGGCTGCACCGGGTGAGTCGGAAACGCCTCACTGCCACTTAACAATCCCTCTATTAGTAAATCGACGCCGAGACTCCACAGGAAGCCTAGGACTAGTCTCCCACTTCCAGGGCAGAAGTCACCTGTTGGGAACGGCTCCTCGGTCCCCCTGCCGGGCTTTCCAGCTCTTCCAGGCGGCTCCATTTCCCCTCAACCTTCCACCCCAAGTCCCTTAGGGGATTTTCACAACCCCACCCCCGCTTGGATTTCCGCCTTAGCCCCCCCAAGGGCACAGCGCTTCGCTTATAGCCGCACTGGTCTTCCCCCCTCCTCCTTTTTCTTTCTCTGTCATAATTTGGTGCTTTCGCCACCTTAAAGCGTTAAGTGGGGGGAGCATTCTGAACTAAAGTATTCTAAGGAAAAGAAGAAGAAGAGGAGGAGGAGGAGGAAGAAGAAGAAGCAAAAGCGACCCACATAGCCCTCCCCACCCACGAAGTGTGCCAGGATACACACAGGCTTCATCTTAGGGCTGAGAGAAGCGCTACGGTTGTTCATACTTTTGGGCCAAGAGATATTGCAAAAGAGGAGACAAAACACTGGGAGAACAGTTCCACATCCTCCTCATTTGCTCCCCCTCCGCGACAATTTGTCTTTTGCACATGAGCATTTGGGGTTAATTATTTATTATTATTTTTTAAGTGCAGGATGTGAGTTTGGAGGGGAATGTGCTACATTAAAACCAGTACCCAGGTTTGCCTGAGGGCGCTGGTATTTCTAGTTCAAAAGCAGCCTCTGGCTACCCCAGAAAAGGAGAAAGTGGGGCCCAGAAAGAAGGGAAACTGTTCAGAGTTTGCCAGAGACTCGAGCACGCGTCCTTGTGTGTGTGAGGACACCTCTTTTCACACCAAGGTCTGGGGAGCGCTTCAGGATGCTTCCAGAGTGCGGAATGTTGAAGGCGCCCACGTGTGGCCTGGTCGTCCGCGCTCGCGCGTGAAGGTCGGGGAGACGCTCCTTCACAAGTCTGCGAAATCAGGGCGCTCCAGGATGAGTCTATCTCTTAACAACGCACCCCAACCTTGCAGAGGACCCTCTAGGCCCTGATGGTCGGGCGTAAGCATGGGCTGGAGCTGGCACAAAACTCGACTCCAGGCTGAAACGCGACATGCAAATCTTCGCTGGGTTAAACAAACAGCCTAGCAAGCTGCAGCTTCAGCGGGGGTGGCGGTGGGGGCGGACGCCGCTCTCGTCGGTCTCTGTTTCCAAAGTTGTTACAGTGTGAAAATAAGCGGCTTCGTGCAGCTTGTTGTATGGGCTGATGCTTCCCACCCCCACTCCAGCCCCCAGCAAAACCTGGCAGATAATCAGTACGTCCCACTGTTTAGTCATATTTGACAACTGGGTTAAGTTGGTATCTAGGCGCTGGTGAAACCGTACAAAGGGTGCCCTCAATTACCACCAGAAGCTTCTGGCGTGAGTGGCACTTGTATTACCCCCCGGGTCAGAGGCCAGAGCGACAATTAGGAATCACTTAGACCGCTGAAGGGAAATGGCGGGATGCAGTAGGCTCCAGGCCCTCCCAACAAGTCTGTGGTTGTAGACCTGTATGCAGAGGCCTGTTTTTCTCCTCTCAGAGGAGCTGTCCCTTTGCGCCCCCACCTTAATGTAACTGAGTAAAACTGAATCCGGTGAAAATAAGGAACAGGGTAATAGACCGACAATGATAAAACCTCGAGCGAGAATGATGGATAAAAGCTCAAGTTATGCTCCGCAGGCAAGAGCCTGGACACACAAAGTGAACGTTGACATTTCTCTCTGTACTTGGGCTCCGGGACTCGGCGCCCCCTCCCCTACTGCCTCCTTCCCCACAAGTGGAGTGGAATCGGACTGTCAGCCCGAACTTGCAACATCTTGGGGCAGCTGGGGTGGGGGAGCTTATGGCTCGGTCTCTACGGTACTTAAACCTGGCTCGATGCGTGTGTGTAAATTTTTAATTGCACTGTAATTTCTTCAGTCCCCAGCCCGCGCCCCCCACCCCCGCCCTCACCCGCAGACTTGACTGGCACGCGCCGGGAGCCCGGGCTCGGGCCCTTCGGCACGTCTGATTGGCTGCGGGGCAGCTCCCGTCTGCTCTGCCTGCGCCCTCATTGGGCGAGAAGCGCAGCCAGCGGCACTTCAAAGCGGGTGCTCCTCACACTTAGGCTGAGTTTAGCCGGCGGGAGCCCGGAGTCCGCTCGGCGCTAGCGCGGGGACACGGGAGCCGCGCGGGACCCGAGCAGTTTTTCAGAGCAGTCGCCAGGCTCAGCCCCTCTCCCGGCCCCGCCGCGCAGCTCAGAGACCTGCTATGGCCACGTCTATACTTGGGGTAAGTCGCAAGCGCGGCAACGCATTTGCTTGTTTTAACTAATTTTTCATTATGGCTTCACCGGGTCTGCGACTCCCAAGGAACTGTTGCTGCTGGACCGCAGCTTCAGCTTATTTTAGCACTTTCCACATTTCCGGGATTGATTCTTTCAGAGTTATTGGAACCCAGAAGATGCTTTTACAAGAAAAGGGTTTCTTAAGCAAGTTTCTTTTCATTTGGTTTTAAAAGCTAAAGATTTCTCCCCCCCTCTTGATTTATAGCCCATCCCCCCTTGCTTTGGGGATTGTTGCAGTTAGACGACTGTGGTGTTTCCAGAAAAGTCTTAATCGTTTTGCAGTCCGTACACTCACCGTTAATAAACATTTACATCTACGCGTCTCCCCAGTTCGCCCCTGACTTTGAAAACCGTCTCTGGGCCGCTATCTTCAGATTGTTTTTGTAATCGGTGTGTGTGTGTGTGTGTGTGTGTGTGTGTGTGTGTGAATTTTAAAACCAAAATTTTCTATTTAAAAAACAGACAAGTCGTGTAGCAAGCCTTGGAAGAAGTGCTCCAAGTTTCGCCCGTCCCTGGGTTGCTGTTTCGGCTACCTCCGCCCTCGCTGGGTGTTTGTTGTCTGTGTTTACCTTCACGCTTCACCCGGAAGGGCGACTTGGGGGCTTCTGGGAGAGAGTCTTAAGTCCGGTTCTAGGCAGGTTTTGCAGCAACTGAGGTGGAGAAAACCGAGATATTTATGATTTGTAGCCTCACCGAAGAATAACTTCCTGGCGCCCGGACCTTCGCTCTGGCGATCGCCTCTGCCCCGCGGAGGGCGCGGGGCATCCTCCGCGAGCGCGTGGGGAGGAGGCGCGAGCCAGGGACCCACGGCCCCCCGGGACCAGCTGTGGAGGACGAGGCTGCTCACGGGTGCACTTTGTGTCTCCCCCCACTTCCTCCTGCCCTCCTCCTCCTTGCTCCCTCCCTCACCCCACCCACTCTAGGAAGAGCCGCGCTTTGGAACGACCCCGTTGGCCATGCTGGCGGCGACCTGCAACAAGATCGGCAACACGAGCCCGCTGACCACGCTACCAGAGTCGAGCGCCTTCGCCAAAGGAGGCTTCCATCCCTGGAAGCGCTCTTCGTCCAGCTGCAACCTCGGCTCCAGCCTCTCAGGCTTCGCTGTGGCCACTGGCGGCCGTGGCTCGAGCGGCTTGGCGGGTGGCTCCAGCGCCGCCAACAGCGCCTTCTGCCTGGCCTCCACGTCGCCCACGTCGTCCGCCTTCAGCAGCGACTACGGCGGCCTCTTCTCCAACTCGGCCGCTGCGGCGGCGGCGGCGGCCGGGGTGTCCCCACAGGAGGCGGGCGGCCAGTCGGCCTTCATCTCCAAGGTTCACTCGACGGCGGCAGACGGCCTGTACCCGCGCGTGGGCATGGCGCATCCTTACGAGTCGTGGTACAAATCAGGCTTCCACTCGACGCTGGCGGCGGGCGAGGTGACCAACGGTGCGGCGTCGTCGTGGTGGGACGTGCACAGCAGCCCGGGCTCGTGGCTGGAGGTGCAGAACCCCGCTGGGGGGCTCCAGAGCTCGCTGCACTCGGGCGCCCCCCAGGCCTCGCTGCACTCGCAGCTGGGCACCTACAATCCCGACTTCAGCTCGCTTACGCACTCGGCCTTCAGCTCCACGGGCCTCGGCTCCTCTGCCGCTGCCGCCTCGCACCTGCTCTCCACCAGCCAGCACCTGCTGGCTCAGGACGGCTTCAAGCCCGTGCTGCCCTCCTATTCGGACTCCAGCGCCGCAGTGGCGGCCGCTGCCGCCAGCGCCATGATCTCCGGCGCTGCGGCTGCCGCCGCCGGGGGGAGTTCGGCGCGCTCGGCTCGCCGCTACTCCGGCCGCGCCACCTGCGACTGCCCCAACTGCCAGGAGGCGGAGAGGCTGGGCCCTGCCGGGGCGAGCCTGCGGCGCAAGGGCTTGCACAGCTGCCACATTCCGGGCTGCGGCAAAGTGTACGGCAAGACATCGCACCTGAAGGCGCACCTGCGCTGGCACACGGGCGAGCGGCCTTTCGTGTGCAACTGGCTCTTCTGCGGCAAGCGCTTCACGCGCTCGGACGAGCTGCAGCGGCACCTGCGGACTCACACGGGCGAGAAGCGCTTCGCCTGTCCGGTGTGCAACAAGCGCTTCATGCGGAGCGACCACCTGAGCAAACACATTAAGACGCACAACGGGGGCGGCGGGGGCAAAAAGGGCAGCGACAGTGACACGGACGCCAGCAACCTGGAGACGCCCCGCTCCGAGTCCCCCGACCTCATCCTGCATGACTCCGGCGTCAGTGCCGCCCGGGCGGCGGCGGCAGCGGCTGCGGCGGCGGCTGCGGCGGCGGCCTCGGCGGGAGGCAAGGAAGCCCCGACTGGCCCCAACGACTCTTAAAGGCTGGACGAGAAGCGCGAGCGAGCGAGTAGAGACACGGAAAGCGAGTGAGAGGTTCGGAGGGAGAGCAAGCGGGGCACCGGAGGGCTCCAGTGACGCCCTGAAGCCCGGATGGGCGCGAGGTGGAGCCACGCGCGGCGCCTCGGCCCTGGTTTGCCGGCTTAGCCTGGAGCTCCCCTCCGCCGTCCGCGCCCAGATGAGAATCGAACGCGTGGTCCAGAAACAAAAGCAAACCATCCTTCGACACAAACACCTTTTAACATTGCACACACAGATATATACATACACCAGAGACCCACAACCCCAAGTATCCACACTCGTGCGCGCGCACACACACACATACACACATCCCTCACACAAACTTCTCAAGCGAAGAGCAATACACAGAATCGCCCCTTCCTCCCCCACTGTCCTTCTCTGTCCTTTTCTCAGAAAACTAGCCACCACCCAGCAAAGGACTGTCAGAACATTTGAAAACAAATGGACCTATAAAAACAGACCCTTTGTGTGGATTATATTATATATAAAATGCTCCAAGTCCTGCTTGATATCTACTTACAATGAGACTTTTTTTTTCCTAAAAAGGAAGCATCAAAAAAAGAGGCTTAAGGTGAGAAATTAAACTGGAAGTCTAGCGACAGTTTCTCTGTATTTCATAACATCTGTATAAATAGGGTTC